AAACAGGCTGGGAAGGTTTCCATACCAGCCAGATGTCTCAGGACATGGGTTTGGGCACAGTTCTGCATGGGGACGAGGAAGGGAGAAGATGGCTGGAAAACCCTGAGTCTGCCCAGGCTAAACTAAGACTCATGTTAGATGTGCAACGTAATCAAAAAGAGTTCATGACTGTCCAAATTCTTAAATACAAATCTTTGCTTTTCTAGAATAGTTTAACTAGGTTCTTTACAAAGGAAAACACTTTACAAAATATAAAAAGATAACTTACCACGGCACAAGAATGGTGAGGCAGCTTAAGAGTGGCCAGCATTTCTGAATCCCGCCAAACAGGAGTATCCTAAAAAGTTATGTCAGTCCATCTCAAGCCTTTTTAATCATTCCTTCGGGGATGGGCTTTATGAAGTATAGTTAAACAAAGTTACTGCTAGTTTTTAAAGTAACAAAAGAAAAAAGTGTATAGTAATTTGGTTTTTTTAGGTCAGTCTATAACCTGTAACTATATATTTGGCAGAATATTATAGCTGAGTGTACAAATTGTTGGCAGACTTTATTTTAGCCTGTAACACAGATCCCAGGCCTCTTTTCTTTAGAGTTTTTTAAAGCTTCTTTTCTGCTGTGTTTTTTTTTAATGCCCCCATTCTGCTTTCATTTTGGTCAGTGAAAAACATTCTTATGAACATTCTTGCAGCAGCCGGAAAGTAAGTCTAATTTTGAAATATACAATAGGACCTCAGCATTATGGACACCTTGGGACTGGAGGTTGTTCGTAACTCTGAAATGTGTGAATTTCTGAGCAAAATGTCCTTTCAAAAGTTTACAGTGAATATCAAGTAACTGCAGCTTTTGAAACTTTACTAGGCAGAAAAAATAAGGCTTTTAACTATCTTAATTTAAACAAGCACAGAAGCAGTTTCCTCATCTTATCAAATCTTTTTTTTTTTAAAGATTCCCTTTATTTTTAATAGTTTACCACAGTCCTGTACAGTATTTGCTTTTTTTAAAATTTGGTCATATCTGCTACATGACTGAGCACTTCTGATTCCAAATGAACCGTGAGGACGATTGATCAGTTGGCAACTCTGAAGATCTACTGTAGTCTTATTAGTCATTTATATGTTTGATTTCATCTTTGATCTGCCTGAAAAGGCTGCTTTTAAAACCTTGGAGACAACTCCTATTACCTGTGTACCAGGCAGGGAATTACACTGCCTGGTGAGCTCTTTAACAAAAAACAGGACTATGTAGCACTATAAAGACTAACAAGATGGTTTATTAGGTGATGAGCTTTCGTGGGCCAGACCCACTTCCTCAGATCAAATAGTGGAAGAAAATTGTCACAACCATATATGCCAAAGGATACAATTTAAAAAAATGAACACATATGAAAAGGACAAATCAAATTTGTGAGATCTTTGAAATTGAAGCTTGAGTTGGAATCTGCAATAGCCTGCATAAGATGCACCCCTGTTCACCCAAATCCTTTTGAATCTTGAGGAGCAGAGCTTTCCCTGCCAGAACTGCGCTCTACAGCATGCCAGGGATGCAAGCTTTTCTATCTTGTATAAGTTTTGGAATATTTTATAGATTAAAAATAGTGGAGCCTCCGCACCATTTCTCATTTTTGCATGTGAGAGTGTATATGTATTGAGACTATCAGTAGTGTCTGAGCCCTGACTTGGCTCCCCATGTACAACACTCCTTTTGAAGCACAGTACCATGAGTTTTGCTGTGTTCTCTGCTAATTGTGCCTAGAAGGGGGGTGCAGGAAGCATTTTCCCTTTAGGATGTAATTACAGATGTATGCTTCACATAGTGCACTCCTCTGCCCATAACTTCTTTCCCTGCCCCCCTCCAAGTTACTTATGATTTAGTGACGGACTATTGTATTACAGTGCTGCAGCCTATGCCAACATTTCCATTAGAACCCATTTTTTCAGGTTTATAACTCTGCAGTAAAAATCTACTCTTCCAATTTGAAACTTGGCAGATAATGTCTCATCCTGAAAGGTATTTTTCTGCAAATCCCTCCTCCTATTCCTAACCCCTAAATGAAGAAGGTGTAGTGTAGTTTTAGTTTTGAATTACTGACATTATCCCTTATGGTTTTGATGGGAAAAGGCCATTTGATTATTAAATTTACATTTTTTAAATCCAAAGAAAGAACTTCTGTTCTAGATGAAGCAACTGAATATACAAAAAGTGTTAAACTGTTTCCTATTAAATCTATAGATAGCTCTTCCCAAATTAAAGCTAGTGAATGATGATCAAAAGTACTGAAAAGCTTTTGTTGTTGATTTTTGTTTCTAGCTGATTATTGATGTTACCCTAGAACAGTTGCTTTCTAACATGTAAATAACTTGCTAAGCTGCACTGGTTGTGTTACTTTTCAAGATGAATTCAATAGAGGGGGAACATGACCTTGTTCTCTCTCTTCATGTTGAGAGCTGTATTAAGTCCTGGGAGAAACTAAAATTTAATCCTTGGTATAGAGCAGAAACTAGCTAGAACTATTACTGTTGTAAACGGTACAGGATTCTGTAACTCCAGCCAGGCATAGCTACTAGGAAATGCACATAGGCAATAGACAGAGACTTGTAAGAACTTGGATTAGGTGGCAAAGAGGTAGAAAATATCAAAGAAGGCCTTTCACAACTTATATTATCAGAACCAAAGATCCATTCTGTGTTCTTTGGATCTCCATTTCCCCATCTGATTTAGTGGAAACATACAGTAAAAAAGAAATGCAAGAGTAGGAACCACTTTAATTTTTCCTTGCTTGTCCTGTTTCCCCTTGTGACAAGCCAGTGAGGAGTGAAATCTGCCTTGCTGTCACCAGAGAACGTCATTTTTAATCTGGCCAAATAGCACTCAAAATTCACCATCAGAGATTTCTTTTTTCATCTAGGTTGAGATCTACAAAAGGACTGAGGTACCTACCTGCCACGTTAGAGGTCTAAATCCCAGCATCAGGCCCCACTGGGATTCATAAAAATATCAGTTGCTACCACTGAACCCTGTAGGTGCCAAAACTTACTCAGTACTTAAAATTTTGAGGTAAAAATTTAGTAGGTGCCTGTGTTTCTGCCTCTGCACATGTGCACTGCAGCTTCCCACCTAGGCCCCGGAAAAATTCATGGGCAGAGAATCCTTTGCTTGATTCCGTAACCATACTCAGAACTGACTTACTGAATTGAGCCCCTACAGACAAGCTAACAGAAAATGAGGAGGAGGACATCCCTCATCAGTTTTAGCCAGTGGTTTAATTACACAGCTGAGATGTTAGGGACCACTGATTCCAGTCCCCATGCTGCCTGAGGGGAAAAGGGATTTGAACAGGGATCTGCCACCTGAGTACCCTAGTCACTAGGCTAGGGAATGAGATCATGAGATGCTCCCTCAGGTTCTCCTGAGAGAGCTCTTCCACTGTAGAAAATAATGGAAAAAGTAACAGAGGGGAAATGAGAGAGAGAGAGAGAGAGAGAGAGAGAGAGAATTTATAATTTGGCAGTTAGAGCACTCACTTGTGAGGTGGAGCGCCTGGTATCCAGTCCATCATCTCCTCTGATTTCAGTTTGATTGTTAAAGGAAATAAATGTTGTTCTGCTTGCATAATCTGGTGACTTTCAGAACAGACTTTGTGGCTGTAGCATGATACAGACATTCATTTTTTTTTATTTAAAACCTTTTCTGGTCATCTTAACATCTGGGGAAATCCTAAATATTAGCAGAAGAAAAATGCTTAAAATAGTGTATTTTCCCCTAACCATTCAGAATATATTAGTCAACTTCCATATTTTCTAATTAGGATGCATCAGAGACAGTTAGTTACTAAAAAAGTGATCATATTCCATTTTTTTAACCAGGTCCATATGTGACTTTCATATAGATCCTTGATTACTGACTTGATTTATGTGTAGGCATTTCTATAGCACTCTTCATGGTAATAGCTGAGTTTTAATGTCCCTATTCTTACTGTCTGCTTCAAAATTAGTATTTTAAATTCATAGAAGGGAATAAAACTGCAAATGTTATCAATGTTGTCTACATGGACACTCAATGCACTCCAAACCAGGCTGTAAACCTGCAGTGCAGTAGCTTACCATATACACATTGGCCCTGTGGACCTGGCTGCTGCTTATTAAACATTTCTTCATGTGTTTTGATGAACTAGTATTTGAAATATAGTGGGTAGCTTAGTGTGTTGTAGTGTCCCCGACTTGCAATGCCATCCACTAAAACTTTCTATAGACAAGCACTGAGATTATGCTGTTATTTCAAGACTATTATTTTGCTATTTGCTCTTCATTCTTACTCATTTATTGTAGAGACTTGGTAATATGAAACAGAACAATCAGTAAAAGTTTATTCAAACAGAAATATCCATATTATGTGTATGAATACAAACATATATACCATATAACTTTGCATTTTTCTATAGGCACACAAGCGGAAATCCAATGAATCTGTAGACACAGAACTCTGTCTTAATGAGGTAAGAATGTGGGCCATTTTACAGTACCAATTTTTCATAATACAAATATTATCTTGAAATAGTCCAGGATACAATCCTGTGCTTTTTTGTCAGACATAATTCCCATCAATATCATCATGGTTCTGTACCAATTTATCATAATAAAGGGAATTTTTCTAAGAACTCAGGATTGGGCTGAAAGGGATGGCTACCCTGGTACCATGCAGTGGTGAGATAATTACATTTTAATTCCCACATAGTTGTTGGGATTCCCTCCGAGACCTCTTTCCACTTGGCTTCCCAAGAACTGATTTTGCAGGTCATATAGTAATTAGTGTTGCACCTAGGAAGTGTAATTAGCTAGTAATCTGCAGGAACATGTAATCATATGGCATTTACCAAGTCCCAGAAATACAGCAGATTTCATTTTATGGCTGACAGAATACTGATTTAGGATAAATGAAATGACAGTTATATAATACGTTAGGAGCTAGATTGACAGCCCCTGGAGACTTGGAATCTTTCCCTGTGCTGTTCCACCAGACTGTTTCAAGCCTGACCAATAGGACCCATCCCTAGAGGTAGAAGATTAGTTTCCATGAGAGTCAATCTGTAACCTTCCTGTTGACCTTGGGGTCCTTGTGTATTGTCCCTGTGTAGCTGCACATGACCTGCCAATCTGTACCTAATACTATCCTGTTAATTTAGTATGTGTAATGTTTAGCTGCATATATTTTGCTTTATTTTATGTTGCATAAGTACTTTTTGATTGTGGAAAACCAAGGGCATGTGAAAATGCAGTATATGGAAAAAGAAACTAAATGGACATTGCTATTGTTGCTAGGCCAGCCCATAAGCCTACTCTGATGGGGTTTCCGGTCTTACCCATGGGAATCTAACAATACTTTGGTTTTCAATCCTTCCATGTTGAACACAGATCTTTTAAAAAAGTTGCTTAATTTTAGAAAGTTAGATATTTTATTTATTCTTTTTTGGGGGCCTGATTAGTGATGACCCTTTATAGTGTTTTGACAGTTACAATCACATTGTATTTTAATATCTCCATTTTTTTGACATCCTGTTTCATGCTTCTCGCATACTTAAATACATGGTGGTAAAATACATGAAATTGAGGGAAAGAAACTGACAAACAGGATGAATTTTATTAAATGGATATAAATATATTACAATATACTATATTGTATATAGTGACCAAGGAAAGTGTTGTCTCTTGCAGAATGCTATCGGAAAGGACAACACAGTCAGAGTCTCCACCAGTCACATATCTTCAGAGAATTCATCTGCTCTTCCTACAAGCTTCAGTCTAAGCACACTGCTCATGTTGATGACAATTGCACTCTCAATCTCTTTGTTCTTAAGTTCATCAGAAACCTTGTAGCTGCATTATAAAAGGACATGTTAAAACAAAACAAAAAAAAATTCTGTTCCCTGTCCTCTGTTGTTTATCTGAAATTCCAGTTCTAGGAGCTGAGTTGAAGCACTCTGCTAAAACAGTTTCATTCAACTGGAATTCTTTCTTTCTTTCTTTTTTAAAGCTTCTTGTGATATTTAGGGGGCTTTGTGAAATACTTGATGCCGTGCTACATTCCAAACCCAGAAGGCTTTTGGGCATGCAGTGTTTTAAAGAGACAGTATGTAAATTGGCCTGTAAAGCAACCTGTTTGGATTTTTTATTTTTATTTTAATTCTGGCCTTTACCTAAGAAGGAAGATGTCAGTTGTCTTAAGATCCTATTTATCTCATTTAATGATTTTGATTTTAAAAATGAAATGAACATCAGACTAACAAGGATGCCAGGTTTTTGTCACATGGTGAATGTTCTCCCACAGAGTGGACTTCATGAAACATCTTCATTTGATAGTTTGCTACTGATGTTAAACTCTTTCAGTGTATTAGCATTCTCCTCTTTAAATGTTTATGTAATATACGTGGTTCTGCATTCCCTGCTGTGAAGCCATTATAAGTCACATACAGGTGTACTGTGCATCTTTCAGTTAAAATCTCATAAAAACAGAGTGTGATAGCAAACTTTGACCAGTACTTCTAAATTTTAATTAAATTTAGCCTTAATGAGGGGTGAAAATTCCTTAAATTAACAAGAAGCAATCGTTGTGAACACTTCATAACACTAAATTTATTTAAATTTTGAGGCTATATATAATAGAAACAAATTTTGCTAAAGAGTTTCAATTGTACAATTGTTGGTCTTCTATACTTCTATTGTAATAATACAGTCTAGTTATTTTTCTGTTGGTTTAATAAAAATGACATACAATTTATTTCATCTACTAAAACAGCATTACCTGCTTATATTTACACAGTATATCAACTCTAAAAGTTAAGGGAGCTTTATGCCTTAGCTCTCCAATCACACCAATGCAGACTGAAAATAAGACATAAAACAGAAATGTGATTGTGTATCATTTCTTATACTACTAAAATCAGCATATAAAGGGATTGTTGCTTCAATTATGGGCACAGTCATGCAAACCTCACCCATGTGAGTGGTTTTTACTCACACGAGTATTTCCATTGTAGCTCACTGGGCTGCTGATTGGAATAAGGCAATACAAGATCGGGCCCATACATGGTTTAAAAGCAATATTGCTTATGCACACAATTTAAATACTTTTGTTTTCATTTGATGACACCAACATCCTATGCTGAGTCATGATGATTTTCTGCAGTATCTAAAAAGGGATTCTTTAAAGCTTTAAATGTCATCAAATAGGCAGCATATTTCCTAAGGGCTGTCTGTATACTTAACTGTGATGGCTTGGTGACTGTTATAAACAGTAATCTGTTTTTGTTTTTATTGAAAGTAGACGATAACTGTGCTAGACATAGAGTTCTTCATGCTTAATTTATCGTTTTACACTGAAAACTAACATGATGTGTTTGGTTGAAATTTCCAGATCAGCTATTTGTAATAAAAATACAAACTAGAAATCCACTAATGCTAGGAATGTAAAAAATATCTCACTAACAAATTGTTAAGCTATTGGCTGATCCGTACTTGGGAATTTTCTTTTAACCAAGCTAATAAAAGCAATGCAAAAAAATTCTCAAATTCACTTTTGTAGTCTTGGGTACAGTCATATAACGTACAATTCAAAGCATTTTCTGATAGACATCAAGAGTACTGTGTTCCATTAAACATAACAAATTAGACAACATTACTCCTTAATTCTGCACTGATAAAAAAAACTTCAAATTAATTCCAAAGGTTTCAGAATTTTGGAGAAGAAACATATAGTGTATTATTCCTACAAAATCCCTTGTGGTGGTAGTGGTCGCTTTTCTTGTAAAAGCTAATCAAATTATTGAAAACTAGTGACAACAAGAAAAAAAGATAACTAGATCCAAGATTTAAAAATAAATTCTTTTATGTCAAAAAGAGCTGGAAGTATAATCTAGTGAAATGCTAATGCATACAGGATTATAATTGGAAAGTCTGACATTACCCAATTAATTTTTTTTCAAAACAAATCCATAAACATTAAAATGATTAAATCCTTCTTTGATCAACCAATGTTTCTTTACAATATCATTTATATTCAGCCCATTAAATGGTAAATAATATCTGTAGCTTTAATAATATCTTAGTACAGTGCATACCTTTTCTGAAGATTTTATGTATTTAAGTTTAATATATCTATCTACATTATACTGATTATTATAGTTCTGAACCAGTGTGATTCAGAATAAAAGGAATGACTGCTTAACACTGCAAACAGCAACTATCATTAGCATCTGATAAAAAATAGAATTGTTATCTGACTTAGCAAGAGTCATGTGTATGACACAGAAACAGACTGTTTTGTAAAGCTGACCATGTCTACCACAAACAAGAAGTAGCACTCTATTTTTCCTGGATAAATTGAAAGCACACTGGATTCTTAATTTAAAAATAAATTGCTTATTAAACAACCTAGAGGGAAAAAACTATGAGTCTGACACGTTAAAGAGGTTCTTACGGACATCAGCATGCAAATATTGGTGGATTTTTAGTAGTTGTGTGGTGCAGACAATGTCAATTTAGCACTGTGACCTTGTCAACACGCTCATTTGCTACAGTACTAAAGTAAGCAAATTGTCTTTTTTTTTTTTTTTTTTTTTTTTAACCTCTTCCCTCTCAGCTACTAGATCTGCATGTACTGAGTGCTAAGCAAAGACACTAAGACTGGATTTCATGTATTCATTCAGTGTATTTATATTACCAGTATATATACGGCCAAGCAAGCAGCCATCCCAATACAGGAAGCACCTATTGATGACAACTAGGCTTTAAACCAGAAATGTAATCAACTCAGTTGTTTCTAAGTAAGCTATATGTTTAAATTAAATCATGAGTTAAAGATACATAAGCCATCCTTTTCAGTTAATGCAATGAAACAGGAAGTTTCATTAGACGGATTAGAGACAAATTTCCATTTTTCATGTTAAGTATATCTGATCATTACCTTAAAAAAAAAAACCAACCAGCATCTTGAAGAGCCAATGCACAATGTGTTGATATATGGACAACATTTTGCACTATATAACATATAATCTGACTTTCCCAAGCTATTACTATACAAAAGATGCAAGCTATGAACGACAATAGATATTTTGCTACTAGTAACAAAAAAGTACATTAAATTTCATTCTGTTAAGTACAGGGGTCCCTCAGAAGGTCCTGTCACCACTTTGGTCATATACTAAGAGCCTGATCTAAAAAGCTGCTTAAAATGATTTCTGAGGGCACTCATCACCTTGCAAGACTGCATTCATGAGGGTTCGTTGATGCATAGGCCCTCTTCCATTGGAGAAAATTCAGCCATATTATTTCATTAGGAAGAGCTACAAAAGGTCTTAATAATTTGTAAAACATTTTACAGGTTCTGTCTGGAGAATTATTTCCAGTATTTTTTTTTAACTTAATGACATTCTAATAAGACCTATCCTTTTTTTAAGATGAGTCCATTCATAATTTCACAGCTGCTGCACTTTGAATCAATGAACTCAGAATATGAAAAACTACCATGCCTGATAGGAAAGTAATATTACATTGGAGGTGACAGAGGAGGAGGGAAACACCCCTTAAAATCTCAGTCCAATCTTAGTTCATGATCATTTGGCCTTTTCCTCTCCCATTTTCTCTTTAAAAGTATTGCTATTTTTCCTCAGACTTGTGATGTGTCTTACCCATAAACGTGCCCATAAACTTTTGAGACGTGGCCAATACTATGGCATGAAACACCAGGAAATTGATTATGCTTTGAGCAAATGCTAGGGTTAATGGCAGCCATGCTCTGGAGATCGTTGACGTGAAAGTGGCATATCGAGGGAGGAAAGGTAGATAGAATCAGGAAGGGAGAAGAATGATGCATAGAACACTTGCTGAGGAAAGTTAGTCATAGGTCCATCACATGATAGGTCTGTCTCATGCTGCCCATTGGAATATGTTACTGTTGACAGACCAGAACACTATAAAATAGGGGAACTGAGCCAGATTCTTGTTCTGGGGACTAGCCCCTTTTAAAACGGGCAGCAAAAGTTGGGCAAGTGAGAGGACCTAATAGAGAATGTATTATTTCTTTATTATAAGCTATCCAAGCCAAACAGTTCAGCTTTATTTGGCTGTTCATAAATTGCAACTATTTTGCTTCAATACATTGGTGGGTCTAATCCATAGAATAATATATATTTACTTACAAGAGCACTGAAATAAAAACTGAAGCAAGGTCCCCTGTGCCATGCCCCAGTTTTCAAATGCTTTATGCATCCACTTTGCATCACACGAGCCCCAATAGAAATATGTTTGTTTCCAATGAAATTGTCAGGAAAATTTAAAGATGAGACATCCCTGGATTAATATATGTTCTGTCCTACCAGCTCAGTTCCTTTGGTGGCATTTCACTTTATGGCCATTTGAGGCTTTCTGGAGTTCGAAGGTTCATTCTCTCTTCTTCTGCCCTGCCCCATGACATTTTCTTCTAACGATTTGCCTTTCCATTTTCTGAGAGTATATCCCTTGGTGCTGTGAAACACAACTTTGGTTTGGAGCAAGATGTTCCATGTCTCTGTCCGATCTCTTCATAAAAAAATAGTCAGCTTTTTCTATCTAGCTTTTTGGGAGACGTGTCACCTCTCTCAGAAGAATGAGTGGCTTGTCAAGTCAGCACTTTTTGTTTGCAGTAGAGTGGCTTAAAAGAAAGAGGAATTTCAACCTTACATGCAATTTTGAGATTTTTAAAATTTGGATTCATCTTGAATTAGGAAAGAAGTAAAAATTGGGATTTATTAGGAAGTGAAACATTTTGATTTCACCTTATACAATGCTTCCTTGCTGCTCTGATCTGCCATTTTGATGAAGTCAAAATGTTTCATTTTTGACATTATCTTTTTTTACTTTAATATTGTAGTCAAACATTTTTACTATTATAATTTAAATATAATATTAATGGAAAAATGATTCATGAAATTTTTCCACTTTATCAAAATGGGGGAAGTTTTACTCTTCATAAATCATATACCTTAGTAACCACTTGGTCAAATATTATGCTTTTTCATAGTTTACCCAAGTAAAATAGCATTGATTAAAAGCTAATGAGGAATTTAAAACTAGAGAGTTTGTAACTTAAAGGGGAAAAAGCAGGATTCAACCAATTTCTCAGTGGTGTTTATCATCATAGATCAGTGGTCAGCAACCAGTAGATGAGGATCTACCAATGGATCTTAGAGCCTCTGACAGGTCATCCGGACTGGTTTGGCTAGGAAGCTATCAAATGCTGGCACTTCAATTGCCTCTCCACCTACTGTCATGCTGCTCCTTCCCTTTGTCTTGGAACTGTCCCCTGGAGCCTCCTGCCTGCTGTGCAGGATGTGGGAGCGAGAAGGGGGAGGGTGCTGATGTCAGGGTGTCCTCCCCCCTCCCACTTATGTACCCTATCTCTGCACAGAGAGAAGGGGTGGCAGGGAGCTTAGAAATGCAGAGCTTTGTCACACTCACCCACTGTGTGTGTATGTCGTTCTCACAAACACACACTGTCCTTCACTCATCTCCCCACCCAACATATACACGGGGATTGTTATTACTTCTGTTACTGCTTGCAAAGAGGGTGATTTTTGGTTTTTAACTGGTCTCTGCATTTCATAAATTCATTTCTCTCTTATGCTTAAATTTAATTCTTCGAATAGTGAGTTCTAAAATGCTTAACCTGGTGTGGCTGGAGTAATTATCCCTTTGGTAATTGCTGCTCCTGGATGTGACTGGCATGTCCCTGCAGCCCCTGAGAGAGGCAGAGCAAGGGGTCTCCACATGCTGTCCTTGCCTGCAGACACCACTCTTGCAGCTCCTATTGATTAATAACGGGGAACTGTGGTTAGAAGCTGGGGGCTCAGTGCCTGTAGATGAGGGCTGCACATGGTGCTATGAAGCCATTGCTGTACATGCTATCTGCTTGCAGGAGCGGCAATTACCACAGGGATAATTACTCCAGCCATACCAGGTTAGGTATTGCTCCACCACCCAGAAGCTGTCTCAGTTAAATGGTGCCCCATCAAAGCCTGCTTCCTGAACCCCTGTCCCAGCACTGAACCACATCCTGCACCCAACCTCCTGCCCCAGAGGTGCATCCCCCTGCACCCAAACTCCTTCCCAGAGCTTGCACCCTGAAACTCCTCCTGGATCCCAGCCCCCTGCCTTGTGCTACACCCAGAGCCCCTCCAACACTCCAGACTCCTTGGCCTAAGACCAGAGCCTGCACTCCACCCCCCTACCCCAGCTTGGTGAAAGTGAGTGAGGATGGGGGAGGAAGGAGGCTGAAGTGAGTAGGGTGAGGCCTTGAGAAGGGGTGGTGCAGGAGTAGGGGCAGGCCCTCAAAGAAGGGGCAGGAAGGAAACAGGGCAAAGGTATTTGGGTTGGAGGTAGATCTTACATTGTACTTAAATTGAAAAAGTGAGCTTGTGATTAAAAAATTGGAGACCCCTGTCCTAGATTGTGGCTTCCAGCATAATGGGTTCCCATTCAGGCAATGTCTTCACTCCTAATACTGTATCTACACTTCAGTAAAGACCCATGACATGGCCA